AGACGGACTGACTGACGGACAGGCAAACAGACAGACAGACAGACAAACAGACAGACAAACAGCCAGACGGACAGACAAATGTCTTATTCCCTTTATCCTTATTCCCTTTTTTGAGCTTGGGTCAACCAGGGCAAACCTATCCTTCTTTTGGATCTTTTTAGCTTTGATCCCACTTTTGAAAGTCGAAATTCAAAGCCATTTTCAAAATTATCAGTCAAATTTCGTCCCTTGTGACAACTAAATTTCAAAATTCTCACTTTAAACCATTTTTATTTTGAAAGTCACTATTTGGATTCACTTATCAAATACGGAAAAGCTTTGTCAATAAAAATCAACAACATTACTTGTTTACAAGTTTCCGGATTTGCTTGATTAGATTTTGGGGGTTTTTTTTTTCTGTAAAATCCTGAGCTTTGTTTTGCTTTGATTCTCTCAATTAGTTACCCGTTCTCAATTCTCTCAATTAGTTATCTGTTTATCATGTTCTCAATCTTTAAAAAGAAGCCTTGTTATGTCAAATTTGACGAAAAACTTTCTATAATCTTTGAAATTCTTTCAAAAACATTTATCAATTTGATGTGAAGATTCTGGAAGTGAAAATTGACCTTTTTCCCCTTATCATTCTATTTAGTGCAATATTTTGGTGTTTATTGTTCGGGAAATTTGGGGAATCCTTTTTCTTTAGAGATGTTTTGGTGACAGATTTGATGAGATTGGGGGCAGGGCACTCTAAAGATTTCAGCAAAAAGAGGCAAAGAGATCTTATCTCTTTTCTTTCTTTCTTTTTCAACAACAATCAACAACGATCATTACTTGTTTACAAGTTCATTTGATTGATTTGATTCTCGATTTCGATTCGATGACAGGAATGGCTCTTTTTTTGAATTCAAAAAGATCCTACAAACGCCGCTTTTCACTGTCTCGGAGAGCTTGAAACGAGACTTTTCTGACTTTTCTGACTCAGAATTTCGAGAGGAATTCAATGGCGGCATCTTCGGAACAATCGGAACAATTTGAACCATTGGAACAATCGGAACAATCGGAACAAAAGTCTAAGTTCACAATTGAGTATAAGATACACTTTTTAAAAAAGTTGAAAGGAAATGAGATTGCGGGGACTCTAAAAATCTAGATAAAATCTTGGGGGACCTTCATAAGGTGAAGTTAAGCGGCTCGGCGAGATGGGTCGGTGGTCAACTGGTAAGCTTGCGGGACCTTCATAAGGTGAAGTTAAGCAGATCGCCGAGACGGGTCGGTGGTCAACTGGTAAGCTTGGGGACCTTCATAAGGTGAAGTTAAGCGGCCCACTCGGAAGGCTCTGTGGCCTACTGGTAAGCTGCTACACTACAAGGCCAGCGAGGTGGGTTCGATCCCGGTATCCGAATTTTCATTTTCTTTTTTGGTAATCTTTCCGGATAAAAACCATTCTAGAAAACGCTACAGTAACCATGTGCTTTCTCGTTGACTACATTGTTCAAATTTGTACTATTCTGACTGTCTGAAACTTATTGTTCAACCATAAGCGACACTAAGATCTATGCTTTACTGTAGCTTTTGGTTGTAAACTTATCGTTCAACCATAAGCGACAGTAATCTTTTAAAAGGTCAAAACTCTAGAAAAACTATGAAACAACTGTATTTTCCTAGTGTTTTTGCAAAAAAAAGAGAAATTGAAAACCAAAATTTTGATTCAAAACTCTAAAAAAACATTTCCAATTCGAATTTTGATCGAGATTTCAATTTCTTCAAATCAAATCGAAATTCTTTATCGAAATCTCAATTTCTTCGTGCTCATTTCATTTCGAATTCGTTCTTGATCGAGATTTCGGTTTCTTTTTCATTTATTTCATTACTTTTTCATTTATTTTCATTTATTTCATTTATTTCATTGATTTCATTTATTTAATTTCATTGATTTCATCTATTTCATTGATTTCATTTGATTTAATTCATTGATTTCATTTATTTCATTTCATTGATTTCATTGATTTCATTTATTTCATTTATTTCATCTATTTCATCTATTTCATCTGATTTCATGATTTATTTCATTTCATTGATTTCATTTCTGATTTCATTCATTGATTTCATTTATTTTCATTTATTTCATTTAATTGATTTCTCATTTATTTTTCATTCATTTCATTCATTTCATTCATTTCATTTATTTCATTCATTTCATTTAATTTATTTAATTTCTTTTTCATTTATTTCATTTCAAATTCGTTTTTCTTTGAGGCATTTCATTTTTTTCATTTCATTTCATTTTCTGAGGCAAAAGCTCGACTATTGTTCTTTGAGTCGGAAAATAAAAAGAACCAAAAAACAAAAAGGCAAAAAAAAGGAAAGGAAAGAAGGAGAGAATTTTGGTAAACATTAAGGTTTTCCTCTTTTCCACGTTCACATCACAGAGCATTTATTCGCTTTGTGCTTTTTTTTATGCAGAGAAGGGAAATGGAAGGGGAGCAAAGGAGGAACGAATCATCGGACACCGTATCTTTTTAGAAATATCTTTAGAGAGACTGTAAAATTTTGATTTTCTTCTATTATAGTCGAATCTAGTTCCATTCTAATTCAATTAAAGCCAAAAAAAAGTGACTAGCAATTGTTAGGGTGGTGCAAAAGAAACTGCCGATGGGTATCAGCTCTGATTTGTCAGAAACGAGTGATGCTAACAGCATTATTACTAGCGGCATTTTTTTAATGTTTTGTTTGCATATTTGTTTGCTATTTATATCGACATTTGAATTTTTTGGTTGTTATTTATTTTATTTTAAAATGTTGATATTTTTATTTAGATCATGGCCGAGCAAAAGTTTGTGCTACGAGCAGCATTACTCTTTAACTTCAAAATTAGAAAATCTGCTGCCGAATCGGATCGTTGTCTCGCAAGGAACCAAAAGAGAAAAGAGGATCAAATTTGTAGAGAAAAGGAACCAAGTCTGCTGCCGAATCGCATCGTTCTCTCTGTGCTGTTCTCTCTGTGCTGCTTTCGGAGATGGCAGTTTGTCTCTCAGGCAGTGTCAGACTTGGTTTCGACGATTCCGAGAGGGAGACGAGGCTTTGGAAGATTACGAGCACGGTTCGAGGCCAGAAGTCGTGAACGAAGCCAAACTGAGGGACGTTATTCAGGCCGATCCATGCCAATCTGCTCGAGATCTTGCGAAAATATTCCATTGTGATCATGTCACCATCGAACGCCATCTTTTTTTTTTGAATTTACCGTCAAATCGGCAGTTTCTTTTGCACCACCCTAATATTTTATTGTATTTTCTTAGGATTTTCTCAACGGGCCCAAAACTGACTTGGTGGTGTAATGGATAAAACGCTTGAATACAAAACAAGCGCCTCGTATTTGCTGCTCGAGCTATCGAGGCTCCTTTTCGGGAAAACTTTTGTTTGTCGCGTGAAATCGTGAAATTTTATAGAAACTTATCCCAGAGCTTATTTTCAGGCTTATTTCAGGCTTATCTCAGACTTATTTCAGGCTTATCTTCTATACTTACCCCCAGACTTATCTCAGACTTATCCCAGACTTATTCCCAGACTTATCTCATACTTATCCCAGACTCCCATCCCAGACTTATCTCAGACTTATCTCAGGACTTATTTCAGGCTTATTTCAGACTTATTTCAGGCTTATCCCAGACTTATTTCAGACTTATCCCAGACTTATTTCAGGCTTATTTCAGGCTTATCTCAGACTTATTTCAGGCTTATCTCAGGCTTATTTCAGGCTTATTTCAGGCTTATTTCAGGCTTATCTCAGGCTTATTTCAGGCTTATCTCAGACTTATTTCAGGCTTATCTCAGGCTTATTTCAGACTTATCTCATTTAGCCAAATCCATTTGACTTTCCCTTGTAAGCCACTTTTGATATTCGATGTTTTTCAATGATATCATTGAAAAATGAAAAGTTAGAAAAATTTTGGCAATTTATTCAAAACTCTTCCTCGTTTTCGTTTTCGTTTTTATTTTTCTTGTTTATCAGTTGGTATTTTGGGTATTTTGAAGTGGGGAAAGATTTGGTGATGTCATAGAAAATTTTCTATTTAAAGGGTAAAGTTAGAAAGTCCTTTTAGCACTCCTTTTAGCACTCCTTTTAGCACTCTACAATGCCAAAAACTGGCCCTTTTAAGGTAAACGTAAAGTTTAAGAGGTGAAAAAGGAAATCCAACGCAGAAACTATCGCCTTTTTGTGGTAGTATTTGATTATTTTCAAGAGCAAATCTTTTTCCCCATCATCGGAATCAGTTGGATCTGCTAGCAGGGTGCTAGCAGCCGGTGTTTTAGCGGATAGAACGATTCTAGAAACCGCTGCAATAACCATGTGTTTTCTCGTTGATTACATTGTTCAAATTTATACTGCTCTGACGCTTTTGTTGGGAATTTTCATTTTTGTTAATTCGTTTTTCTATACGCTAGCTATACGTCGATAAATTACCGTAATCTTTTCTTTATTTCAATTCAACAGATCTGGCTTTAATTTCTTCTTCTTTTTTCTTTCTCTTCTTTTTTTTTTCTTCTTTTTTTTCTTCTTTTTTTTTTTTTTTTTTTTTTTTTTTTTTTTTTTTTTTTTTTTTTTTTGGTCTTCTTCTTCTTAGAGCCTCTTCTTCTTCTTCTTCTTCTTCTTCTTCTTCTTGTTCTTTTTTTTCTTCTTCATCCTTACTTCTCTGCCCTTCTTCTTCTTCTTTTCTTCTTCTTCTTCTTTTTCTTCTTCTTCTTCTTTTTCTTCTTCTTCTTCTTCTTCTTCTTCTTCTTCTTCTTCTTCTTCTTCTTCTTCTTCTTATTATTATTATTATATAGGTAAGAGGTTTGATCAAGTGACGTCGTTTGACCCTTTCCCCTTCCCCCTTCCCATTACCTTTCACCCTCCACCATATGGCCATTCATTCAATCATTTCATTCTCCAATTCACTATTGCCATCTCCTTTCAATCAATTTCTAGTTTTTCCCAATTCATTCCAACCATCCCATGTCTAAATTTTCAGATTTCGGGTATGTGTCAGATGGAGGCGCAGAAGAAGAACAAGGAAGAGAGCAACTCGGTGAAACAGGTAAAACAATTCAAACAATTCAAACAATTCAAGCAATTCAAGCAAAAAGAAACAAAACCGTCTTTTAGCCAATAAGCTAACGTATTAAATGGTTTAATTACTCAACTAGTTGACGTTCTCTCCAATTATTCAAAAGTTAAACCTGCAGATCTCCACGTAATGTACAGAGTGACCGCAAACTATCGCCTCGCAGTTTTTTGGCTATCTCTTAACTCTATCTTCGCGAACCGGTTTAATTCCTTTTTAACATGAAAATTGCAATAATTTTCTATGAAGAAAGTTCTTTAGTTGGCTGGCTGGCTGGCTGGCTTTAGTTGGCTGGCTTTTTGTGGCTGGCATTGGCGGCTTTAGTTGGCTGGCTTTAGTTGGCTGGCTTTAGTTGGCTGGCTTTAGTTGGCTGGCTTTAGTTGGCTGGCTGGCTGGCTGGCTTTAGTTGGCTGACTTTAGTTGGCTGGCTTTAGTTGGCTACAATACACTATTTCCAATGAACAATACAATATTTACAATAGAAAGTTGAATCAAGCGCCAAGAAATCGACAAGAATTGACTCAATTGCCACAATCTAAAACATAAGCTCTATGATTTCCACTTAATTCTTTATGCTTTTTCGTTTAATTTTCCCAACACAATCATAATTTACTACAAATCTACCTACAAATTTACGAATTAAACAATTCTAATGAAATTAAAGTCATAGAATTGATTAACTAATCCAATTTTAAACACTTCAAAGCCATTCAACTAAGGATAAAACTCGAAAAGTCCACCACCAACAGAATCTTTGAAACTTTAGCTGCCAATGAAAACAATGAAAACAACAAACAAACATGAAAACAAACAATTCATTGTTTTCATTAGTTGAATCAAAGCTGATCGCCTCGGAAGTGATTCTCTCGCCATCATTCTTGTCATAGTTTATCAAATATTCCTTCTAAACAGCTATTCGATCATTCTGGAGTGCAGAAAGGGTACTGTAGCTTTCTACATGCTATAGCAACATTTCAATGCTGCCAATGCAAACAATGAATTGACTACCAATGCAAACAATGCCATTCAAAAGCTCCAAATTATAAATTTCATCATTTAATTGAAGAGGATTGAGGCATTCTAAAGCAAAAAATGTTTTCTGATCATCGAGTTTCCCGAAAAGGTTTTCCCCCGCTTAAAGTTTGCACAGCCTCGCCCCTCCATTCCCGATCTTTTGCCGAAATTACCTTTTGTGCAGCTCTTCCTTTCTCTTCCCCTTTCTCTCGTCCAAACAAACACCAAAAACATACACATTTTCTTTTGAGTATTTCTTTAATCTAACATTACTTTCTTTTGGGCTTTGAAGTTTTAAACCGGTTCGCGATTAAACCTCAATCAGTTAAACCGGTTTAACCGATTGAGGTTTAATTGATCAAAAACAAAAGAACAAAAATTAACAACAACAGCAAGAACAATAACAATAACAAGAACAAGAACAAGAACAACAAGAACAAGAACAACAGCAACAGCAACAGCAAGAACAAGAACAAGAACAGCCGCAACAACAAGAACAAGAACAAAAACAACAACAACAAACAACAACAGCAAGAACAACAACAGCAGCAACAACAACAACAACAACAAAAAACAACAACAACAAGAACAACAACAACGAACAGCAAGAACAAGAACAACAAGAACAACAAAGAAAACAACAACAACAACAACAGCAGCAGAACAACAAGAACAAGAACAACAAGAACAAGAACAGCAAGAACAAGAACAACAAGAACAAGAACAACAACAACAACAACAACAACAACAACAACAACAACAACAACAACAACAGCAAGAACAAGAACAACAAGAACAACAAGAACAAGAACAAGAACAAGAACAACAACAACAACAGCAGCAGCAACAGCAAGAACAAGAACAAGAACAGGAACAAGAACAACAACAACAAGAACAAGAACAACAACAACAAGAACAACAAGAACAAGAACAAGAACAACAAGAACAACAACAACAATCTATCAAGTGAATAAAGCATAATTTAACATTACATCTTGCATACAACATTACACACTTTTCACAATTCCTCTTCACAAAATACCCATCCCTTTGAGTACAGTATCTTTTTTCAAGGGAAACAGGTTCTCAAGAGTCGCTCTCGATGATCTATTGCCCCGCCTTGTTGTAAAAAAAAATAATCCTTCCCATAACGATTGAAATCTTTTGACGTTCGCACGGAAAAGTGATAGATTGGCGTGAAAAAATATTGTATATGGCTGTATATAAATGAAAAAATCCTTTCCCAGGTATTAGACTTGGGTGATCGGACTGTGGTAACGGGTGTGGTGGATCGATTGTCGAGTGGAAGTCACCGATTCGCATCGATGGATCCGATTGTGAGGGCGCTGTGCAGGGCAGCGAAGCAGGAAAAACAATGGGATGATCTTAAAGAGGTTTGTTCAATGTTCAAAAAGCAGAAATGATTGATTCTTGAGCTTGAGCTTGAGCTTTGATCAAAGCTAGTGTCTTTTCAAGTTGAGGAAGCGATTAGCAAATGTTAGAAGACACTAAACACTAAATCAGACACTTCTAAACAACTAAATCACAGCAAGACTTCAACTTTGGCTTCATTACCTAACAAAATCTTATACCTATAGTTCTAAATCAGGTAGAGGAATACGACGAAGACGATTGGGAGGATGAGCGTCGTGAAGCCGCTTGGAGACGTGTTTTCAACGAGAATGACACCATCGAAAATCTCAGAGCAACAAAAGCAGCCAGACAGCATCGACGTGAGGTGAGGAAAACTAAAAATAGTAAAACTATAACAACAGCTTAAACGAGAGCTTCAGAAAAAAACTATTTCATAGATTCATTTATGTTAAGTTGAGAACAGTGTAGACAAATCTATAGAATCTTGCTAGGAAATGGTCCAGACTGGGGCTGACGTTTCAGGAAAAGGAAAGTTCCGACTACTTTACTAATAATGACCCCGAAAAGTTTAGTGGCTCGATTTTGGCTGTGATTCTCTCGTGAATCTGTACGCTAACAAGGGAATGATTGAAACTGGGGCTAATGACAAAGCTCGGACTCGGGAAAAGCTCGGAGTGCAAACACCAGTCGGATATCGGTATTTCAAATAACTATTCAGTTTTTGTTCAAATCAAAATCAAAATCAAAATCAAATTTTGTCGGTGCCCGGACTTGAACCCTCAGACCCTTGAGCCTCCATGGGTTCTGTAGTCCGCCACACTAACCTCTAGGCCACCGGCGCTCCTCGTTCGTTCGTGTGTGGCGCGCCCAAATTAAAATCGTGGCGAGAAAAATGCATTTAAAGTTTCGCCTTTTTTGGAAAAATCGACCCCTAGCCAATAAGAGCGCGCCAAAAGCGAACGAACAAAGAGCAGTGGTGGCCTAGAGGTTAGTGTGGCGAGCCTAGAAAACCAATTTCCCTTTTGGCGGTGGGTTCAAGTCCCGCTACCGACAAACCTTTGCTTTTTTGGGATTTTAATTTGAACAAAAATTGAATAGATATTTGGAATGCCACTGGTGTTTGCACTCCGAGCTTTTCGTGGGTCCGAGCTTATCCTGAGCTCGGGTTCGACGCTAGCTTTGACGTCAACCCTAGTTTCAACCATTCCCTTGTTAGCGTACAGATTCATCGTACAGATTCACCGTACAGATTCATTGTACAGAGAAAACTCACTAGAGAATCACAGCCAAAACCGGGCCACTAAACCTTTCACGGTCACTATTAGTACAGTAGTCGGCATTTTCTCAAAACATACTTGGCAATACAATACTTTGTCTCACTAGCTTTTCTATAGAAAGTGAATCTAAATAATAGCACTAGATGCTATAGTAAACTCCACAAGACTCTTGTAGTTGTTTTCCTCGTACGTGTAGAATGCAAGTGAGAAGGTCTTCTCGAATCTTTCCTTCCATTCACGAAGATGTGTGAGTGTTTACCCTCGACAAAACTTTTCTCCTTTTCATCCCTGAAAACCTCATCGATCAGAGCAGAAAGTTTACCAAAAGATCATCTCGCTTTCAATTTCAAAAAGCCTGAAACGTCTTTTGCTTTTCGTTTACCTTTCCTTTACCTTTCGAATTCTTTTTCAAATAGTATTTTTCATAAAAAAATGAGTAAATATGGGCCTGAATGTTTGCTCTCAAAATATACGATAAAGTTTTCAATGGGTAGACGAGTTTTTCTTGGAGTTGAGGGGATTCACTGACCAGGGGTTAATGAGGGTATTGCTGGAGGAAATTTAAAAATAATTTGAGTTGAAAGGGAGCAAAGCATACGTAGCGTAGCATGCGTAGCGTATTATGCGTAGCGTATTATGCGTAGTGTAGCATGCGTAGCGTAGCATGCGTAGCGTAGCATGCGTAGTGTAGCATAGGTAGCGTAGCATGCATAGTGTAGCATGCGTAGCGTAACATACATAGCGTATCATGCGTAGTGTAACATACAGTACTGAACAATGAAATATGATATTTGAAAAAAGATCGTCACTTTCGCGCGTCTGTAACTCCCTTGTCTTTGAGTTTAAACTATTGGGTTGATGCATAATTATCCGGACTTCTTTTATAAATGATTTTATTTAACAAAAAATAACATAAATAGTTAGAAAAATATGTTTAATTGATTATTCTGGAGCATATTCACCGCCTACATCAATAACTGATTGCCATTTGCTTGGAAGACGATCGATTCCACGAGCGAAGAATAAACGATCTTTGGAGGCAATCCACGCTTTAACATCGTCTATCAAGTCATCCAAATCGTTGTAGATCTTATTTGTTTGCCAATTTTTGAGCGATCGATTGACGTGGTAGTCCGTTGGGGCTTCTCCAGTTCTTTGAGATCGCGAAACGACTCTGCGGCAGACCATCCCTTTTCGAAGTGGTAGAGCATGATATGGCGAAGATGGATATGATTGTCGACACGCATTTTGTTCACTAAAGAATAACGAATATTTTAAAAAAAGAAATAGACAAAAAGCTTTCAAAACAAAAAAGATACAAGCACGCAAAAAGAAGTCCGGATAATTATGCATCAACCCAATATTAGTGTTCTACATTTCCTGAAAGCTCTTTTCAAGGGCTACACAATGATAATATTAATATTTAGAAATACGGTAAAGACAACGGAGTTACAGACGCGCGAAAGTGACGATCTTTTTTCAAATATCATATTTCATTGTCCAGTAGTGTACGTAGCGTAATATAAATAGCGTATCATACGTAGCCTAGCATGTGTAGTGTAGCATGCGTAGTGTAGCATGTGTAGTGTAGCATGCGTAGTGTAACATACGTAGCGTAGCATACATAGCATATCATACATAGCATATCATACATAGCGAAGCATACATAGCGTAGCATACATAGCATATCATACATAGCGTAGCATACATAGGGTATCATACGTAGCGTCACATACGTAGCCTAGCATGCGTAGTGTAACATACGTAGCGTCGCATACGTAACACTTTTTCGGAGCTTAGCATATAGGCTCAAGTCTAGCTTGTCTTTGAATCCAGTTGAGACATCTTTTTGAACAATGTATCATCTTCAAAGAATCATAGAACCTAGCGTCTACAATAACAAACATTTCTCTAAAACTTTCTTAACCTTTCCATTTCCAGGCTGAGGCATGCGCTCGAGCCGCTGCAGCTACCGGTGACTGCTTTGCGCCACAATGGGTCGGCGATGTGCAGCTGCAATTCTTCATCGAACTCTAGAGATCTTCAAAATCCCCACACATTTCCCCCAAAATCTCATTTTGCATACTGGTCCCCCCTTTTCCCCGTTTTTCCCCCTTTTCCCCGTTTTCCCCCCCCTTTTTCTTCTTCTCCACACAAATTACGGTTTCGCTGCAATTTCGCTAAGTCATTATTTCTTCCCCAAAACTCTAAAAATATGGGTTTCTTTATTCTAGAAAATCTCGTCAAAAAAGAAAGTCGAATTTAACTGATTTGTCTATTTAAAGTTGAAAAATTGTCGAAAAATTGTTGAAAAATGAGAACTAAACTTGTTTTTGAAGTCTAGAAACGCTTTTTTTGGCATAGCTGGCCATTGTAATGAAATAGAAAGTTTGCGTTTTCGTTCTCAGCAGAAAGTAGTTTGCACAAAGCTCTAAGCAAAAAGCTCTGAGTAAAAAGCTCTAAGCACAAAGCTCTGAGCAAAGCGAAAATACAAAAAAAAAAAAAAAAGTAACAAAGCTTTTTTTTTTTAATAACTGAGCACAAAGCTTTCAGCACAAAGCTCTGAGCACAAAGCTTTCAGCACAAAGCTCTGAGCACAAAAAGCTCCCAAAAAGAACAAAAAAAAGAAAAAAAAAAAAACCTCAGAACCAAAAAAACAAAAAAAAAAAAAAAAAAAACAAGACAAAAAAAAAAAATAAGAAAAAAAAAAACAAAAAAAAGCCCTAGCCAAAAACCTGAGCAAAAAGCTTTAAGCACAAAGCTTTCAGCACAAAGCTCTCAGCACCAAGTCCAAGTTTATATAGATAAATCAGTTTTTTAAAAAAAAGGCTAGCTTGGTTAGCTGTGCTTTCCATTTGTCTCTACCTATCCCCCAAACCTATTGATTAGGTCTACGAGTCGTTTGTACTCTCCCGTCGTTCAAATCTTCGTGTATTTCGTTTCGATTTGTGCTTCGTTTCGATTTGATATGATAGTTTATAGAAGATGATGTTTTCTTTAAAGTTTAAAGTTTAAAGATACTGTAAAGCTCATTTTTTAAAAGATACTGTAGTACAGTAGTCAAAGCAGTCAAAGCAAGTCAAAGCAGTCAAAGCAAGTCAAAGCAGTACAGTAAAAAGTCGACAAAATAGCTTAAGCGCAAAAAGGAGCCATAAAGATTGCGCCGAATGGAATTCCCATTTACTAGTAGCTTCGCTTGTTTGGTATCAAAATGTAGTCCTTGATTTGGGCTACACAATGGTATAAAAAACTTTTCGAAAAACTGTTGTCTAGTAGAAGAAAAATGGGAGCAAAGTGAGAGCAAGACTAGCAAAAAAAAAAGACGTCGTTGTCAAGCCATTTTGCAGCCATTTTTCTTTGAAAATTAAAAGATATTCAATTTTTCGCTTTTTCCAACTGCAAGCCTGAACTGAATGGTTTATAGTTTTAATTAAAGAAAAAGGAAAAAGCTATTCAGTCATCAGTTAGACTGGCGAGTTTCAGTTTTGCAATTCGTATTGTTGCGTAATCTCTTTGAACTACATAATGAAACAAATTGCAAAAGCGACCGAGGCTGGTTTGATTTAGCTGGCCTGATTTGGCTGGCTTTGGTTGGCTGGCTTGATTTGGCTGGCTTTATTTGGCTGGCTTTGGTTGGTTGGCTTTAGTTGACTGGCTTTATTTGGCTGGCTTTATTTGGCTGGCTTTGGTTGGTTGGCTTTAGTTGACTGGCTTTATTTGGTTGGCTCTAGTTGGCTGGCTTTAGTTGGCATACTGTAATCAAAGACTAGGACTTTACAGTATCTTTTTTAAATTCTGCTAAACAATGGGTAGATCCCAAGCACTGGCGTTGATCCAGCCTTGTGCTAAATAAGCCTTCTCTTTTCTTCATTCTACTGATTCTTTTTTTTTAAAGAAATTTGATTTAACATCCAATTTCTATGATCAGTTTAGCTTTTTTTCTTCTTTTCTTTTTCTTTTTTTCTTCGATCTCAGAACCCTGGTGTTCTATTCATGCATTTGTTATGGTTCTATTCAAAAACATCACTAAGAACCGCTTTGTTAACGATTAGTCAATAAATAGTCTTTGCAAGGCCTCCAGAAATTTCGATTTTGACTCGAATTTTGGAAAGATTTTGAATTCCAAAAACATATTATGCAAGAAAAACGTTCGCATTTGATTTACAAGCGTTCGCATTGTTTACAAGCGTTACAAACGTTACAAACGTTACAAATGTGTGTTACAAACAAGACAAAACAAGCGCTTGATTTGTTAGAGGAAGAAAAAAAACCGAGTTTAACACAAACTTCCTTTAATTACGAACTTTTAAACGAAAATTCAACCTTTGGCAGTTTTTTGTTAAGCTGAATTTCTGAATTTGACATCGATAAGGCGTATATAAGGCGTTGTAGATGAGGCGACGTATATAAGGCGGTGTATATGAGGTGAGGTAGATGAGGCGACATATATAAGGCGGTGTATATGTCGTAGCCGCTACGAAATTCAGCCGCTAACGAATGAGGGTATTTCCCGGGCATCCAATCATAAAGTCACCCACATAAAAATGTTACATAATACATAGATTTTATAATAAATTTTTGAAATTAACTCATTTGGTTGAGTAGAAAATTTTTTTTAAGCCCCAAAATTTTAGGTTCAAAAATGCCTTAAAATGCCTATAAATAATTTTCTACTCAGCCAAAAAACTTGCCTAATAGCTCATTTTGTAGCCAATTTGATGTAGTTTCTTAAAGTAAAGCTACATTGAACATTTGGTTTTTCAAAGCTAGGAGAAAGAGGGCGAGGAACGACTTCCAGTTTGAACTCGGTCGCTGTTTTCCACATTTGAGAATTGCCCTGAATTTGTTCCTCGCCCTCTTTTTTCTACTTTCAACGAAAAATTGTTTTAGATGGCTTTACCTTAAGAAACTACATCAAATTGGCTACAAAATGAGCTATTATCTGCGGTGTATCTGCGGCGAGGTATATAAGGCGGTGTTTATGAGGCGACGTATATGAGGCGGTGTTTATGAGGCGACGTATATAGGGCGGTGTTTATGATGCGACGTATATAAGGCGGTGTTTATGAGGCGACGTATATAAGGCGGTGTTTATGAGGCGACGTATATAAGGCGGTGTTTATGATGCGACGTATATAAGGCGGTGTTTATGAGGCGACGTATACAAGGCTGTGTATATAAGGCGGCGTATATAAGGCGGTGTTTATGAGGCGACATATATAGGGCGGTGTTTATGATGCGACGTATATAAGGCGGTGTTTATGATGCGACGTATATAAGGCGGTGTTTATGAGGCGACGTATATAAGGCGGCGCCGATGATCTTTTTGCATCAATTTTTTTGCAATAAGTTGCACTAAAAGTACGGTTATTTCTCCCAAGTTTACGTTTTCAAAAAAACGCATTAGTGGTGAGTCTAAAGGTGGCGGTTCCTGTTCAAGGTTCGTTCAAGTGTCCCTGTTTCCCTTTCGCTAGGCTGCGTGAGGATATCGATTTTCGAGCACAAACAAAACGGAAAAATAAAAAAAAACCCCCATTGATGGGTTAATAAAAGGTTTTTGAATGAATTTGAATACTTTTGAATGAATTTGAATCAAAATGAATACTTTTGAATGAATTTTAATCCTTTTGAACAAATTTTAATTCTTTTGCCTCCTCCAAAATATCCTGTAAGCTTTATTAAAGTTTTCCTGTTTCAGAGAAAAAATTTGATAGACCTTTGATCCGAAAGTTTTTCTGTAATCAATCATTTTTGAAAGGATAAAGATAATAGAGGGGTTCTTTTTGTTGTGGATGGGATTTGGAACGGTTAGTGAAAGGGAAACGCTAAAATAGGTCACTTTGTGAGAGGGGAAGAGGGGCAATCAAGGGAGAACTCGAAACTCAAACCCAATTCAAGGCTTCACTTTTCGAAGAAAGCCTTCTCTGAGTTCTTCTCGCTTTTTCGAAGAGTTCTTTAACAGGATTGGCTTAGTTTTTGATCTGAAATTGATTCTATTTTGATTCTATTTTGATTCTAGAAATGATTCTATTAGAAATGTTCCTTTATTTTCTTTTATTTCCAGACTTAAACTCAGCTCAAATTCAAGCTCAGCTCAAATTCAAGAGCCTTTGAGCTTTGATAAACGCGCTTTTCCGGGCACATTTTTCAATTCCCGCTAGAAGCAGACTAAACGCCGCATTAGTGTGCTGGCGGCTGTAGCGAGAATTGACGGCAACACTCCCGACCGCCGCCTTATATACGACTCCTTTTAAAGAGATTCAGCTATTTAAGTGATTTGGTGACAAATTTCCTTCAAATGTAAAGATATTCAGCCGTTTAACTGGTAAATTCCCTTCAAATGTAAAGATATCCGATTTGCTCGACGTGTAAAGAGGATTACTCGTAGTTACTTGGCCAAAAAAAGGTCGGTTAATCGAGTACAACGAAATCATGCAAATTTTACTCAAGGAACACACTCTAATCAGTCTCTAATCTCGTTTTTCCGATCGAGAAAAGATGAACGCAAGAAATTTCCAAAAAAGAATTCCCCAAAAACCAGTCCGAATGAAACACCAAAATTGACCCAAATCGTTGCCTTGAGCCATTGGTTGACCTTGACGAGCCGATCACCGAGCTGCTAGTCTCCCCTCTAGAACCATAAAAAAACTCCATCCAACCTCGTCGGCTTTCTCTCAATTATTTCCTATTATTTTGAGTTATTTTTATTATCATTTCTTTCTTTCTACAATTTATATATTTTGTGTCCGATTTAAATTTCTGTCCGATTTAGACTTAATCTGATAAATCGTTTCGGACGTCCGATTTAGATCGGAACTATCGCGGACGTCCGATCTTCAGATTACAGTCTATACTGGACGTCCGATTTTGTGAAATTGAACCATCTGACGTCCGATTTAGATTACGCGCCTGGTATCGGACGTCCGACGGGATTGAACTTATCGCGACGTCCCACCATCAGAGCCATAGTTTGCGGTCGATCCGAGAGATTGTGCCCAGTCGCGGATTATCCGTTTTAGATATCACAGTCTATG